GAGGGCACCAGCGATAGTTGAAACTTCTTCATGTACCACTCGGCCCACCCGCGCGGCTGGCTCACAATGACTAGCCTATGGCCCATCCAGAGAAAAGAAAAATCTCACAACAAAACTTCTTTTTGCTCAAACATAACCGGGAGAGGGGAGAATGGAGGTCGAATCCAGCTAGCCACAGTGTCTATGCAGAGGACCGGGAGTTGCTCAACATACCTGTCGCTGGGTATGGACGCGGATATCAAGGGTGGCGACCTAGAGGAGCATATCTGACTGGCGAAGTTCCCCGTAGTTTGTGGTGCCAATTGCCCGTCCTTCACGTGGCATGGGATTGCTCTTCGCCGATCACCCGCCATCAGCAACGCTTCGATCGCAACTCGATCCCCCGGGGCTCTTCACGCTCATACCCTCCGGCCGGGTACTCTAATTAGGACCATATTGAAGCAACACCTGTCTTTTGCCACCACTGATCTGCTTGTCCAAGTGCTCCAGGCATCTTGTTCTCACCTCATTCTTAAAACGGAACATTGACAGGATTGGTTCCTGGTTCTTAGACTGGCAACTGACGTGGTATTCTCAAGCTAGGATGTGGAAATCTGTATCTCACTATATTTAAGGCTATGGAACATGCATTGCGAATTGGATGGCATCTTCATACATTTATATATAATGCCTAGGTGCAGCGGCTCCAGCAGCAAGAAGGCCCCCATCAACAGTTTATTCCATCACCTCCGCAGCCGGCCACACTTCCGTATCGGTTCGCTCTTAACAAATTCATGTAAAGTCTTGTACGAAAGTTTATTCGCTGACAATAAGATACCTTGACGTGTGCTAGAAGTAACTTATTCTCCGTCCTTATGCGATTCGCATACTTGCATAGTAGACCTCTTGCCCTCGAAGGGTGTAACGCCACGTGCATGTGATATGCAGGAAACCTGTGTCAATAATACTTAATACTGGGTAGGTTTATCGGTTTGAAGACTCAAAATGAATCTTCGCCAAAACGCCAGCAACCATATATATTTATGTGTGTGTGTGTGTGTGTGTGTGTGTGTGTGTGTGTGTGTGTGTGATCTCTCATGACGACGCTATCATTGACAGTACTTCGGAGGTTGTCTTCCTTGCGTGGCTCATATTGAATAGCTTATCAACTACTTAAGCCGCCGTTTCTAAATTATTAGTACTGCTGCTAGAGGTCGTTGTTTGGTAACTACTGCCTCGTGGCTTACATGTTCACGTAAGATTTATTGGAGAAGGCTGTTTTTCGGCATGGCAAATTTGCCCCGCTGCGTTAAGGCTCATCTTCTGCTCTTTCAAAGCTCTTGATCATAATACTCTTTCCCGTACCTTTTGTACCGGCGCCGATTCAAAACCAGGTTCTGCCCCATTCACAACTTAAAGACTCACGCTAACACAGCGTTTCGATAGTGGCGCACCGCCATCTGCAGAACAATCTAGACTAGATCCACCAAGAATTGTTACTATCGACTCCTAGTCTAATTTTCAACATCTCTTCCCGAGTGACCGGTTTCACACTTAACAGCGCCTTGGTCTTGCCATCCACAGAGACGGGGGGTTAGGGAGAGAGAATCACTCATGTGCCGTAGGCCTCCTATTGGCTGATTTACGAAACTTCGGGCCAGGAGCTTATTTATTATCTTGTAGTATGAGCAAGGTGTTAAATGGGGACAGGAGCAGAATCAGCCATATTCAACGGTCCACCCCTCCTGGTGGCTTGTATATCCCATAATTGCCCGTCACCCTGGCAGATGGAGGAGAGAAAACACCCTCGCTACATGTCGTTGGCATCCGACCACATTTCTCTTCGTTGAGCAAGCACCTTTTCTTAGAAACTTAGAGTATGTTTTTGGTTGTTTCGGCTCATTTCATTCTATGCGACACATGACCGCTTGTATCTTACATCACGTTGGTTCTCAATGCGTGAGTGTTCCAAGGAGACCTCAAGGTCAGGAAACTGGTCTCTAAACCCCTCCAAGGTTACTTTCGACCTGCCTCAAAAACTCACTTCGGGCTCAGCTTCGCTTTGACTTTCGGCATTCTCGAAATTTCAGAGGACTCATCTATCCTTGCACCTGTCCCAAGAAGCCTTGTGAGCAACTTTCGAGGTCACTTACCCATACGCTTGCTCCTGCAAGAATTTTGTATTGAAATCACAAGGCAGTAAATATATATAGTAAAGAACTGATTTCTCATACTTATTTGTCACTATGAGAGATCTGATTATTTAGATCATGAGGTCGACTTTAATTTACTCATTCAGCCTAGTTTTAAAGAGACGCTTGCTAGGCTCACGGGCGATGATCAATTTGCTACGCTTCATTTACTTTGGATGTACATCCTTTCCATCTATGGCAGTCATATCTTTGCCTTATACTTCTCTGCGCTCCTGAGTTTTACGAACATGACTGCTGGCGTCATTCAATGTCGATACTTGGCCAACAACTTATCTTTGCGGGGACAAAGCTTCCGACACCCTTTGACATATCTAGAGATGTGATGAGTTCTGAAGGCGTGTCCATGTTCTTGCGTAGCCTTGCAGCGGCTGTTATCACGCTACCTTTCCAATTCGTCTTTGTACACTCGGTGACGGGTTTAACGGCTTTAGCTGCATATATATTTCAGCTTTGTCAGAATGATATCAATGGAGGTAGTCTTTCCGGTGTTGGTGGGTTGCGAAATCGGCAAGAACCATCGGTTGAGGGTTTTCCGAACCTATATATGCCAGTTGGTTGGTTTTTCGCAGCTGGAACAACCCAATTCTCCTTCACTGGATGTGTCTGTTCCGCTCCTTCCTAGCCTGTTCGAACTGCGTTTCTCTGGTCGTGCTGCTCGATACACCTAGTTCCCTCCCAGGCAATGCACGTTATGGACAGTTCCCTTTGGGGAGTTGTTGTGCGGCTAATATAGTCTTGAAACTTGCTGCCGTTGTGGTGGCCCCTTGGAGTACGATTGCTAGTCACTGGTATATTTAAACGGAGTGACGTTTTTCATCGTTGTGTGACACCTGCTTCCCAGTCGCTGTCGCCTAGCTTCCTTGTCTTGTAGCTCTGGAGGGAGTTTACCTCATTCACTTCTGCTGCTTGTACTTCTTAGGGGTGTGATGGAAATGAATTCTATAACACTGGTATCAATCCGAAGTTTGGGGATTCGGTGATCTTATTCACAACCTTCTCAAGACAATAGCGCCAAGGGGCCAGCAGTTGCCATTCATAGGGTACGGAGTCGAAAGTAGTGAAGAAATCAAAGGTGGTATATTTCGAACTGTCTCTTTTGTAACCAGGCGAGACAGGGACGGGCTGAATGCTCTTGGCCAGAACATAGGTAAAGAGCCGGACAGGTGCGAGGAACTGTAGCTAAGTTGACGAAAATTTGGCGACCATCCACCCGGCAGGATACGTATGTCCTCGTGTAGTGACATCTTATATTGCCATTGTGAATTTAAACGGAATCGTCCAATTAAAGAGGCATGGACTTGTCGCAGCTCGTCGGGTGTTTGTCAGAGGTTGCTCCAGCCTAAACTGCACTGGAGAGGAAGATGGAGCCAAGGTTGCCTACCCGTCAAACAGCACCACATCGATGTCCTCCTCGGGCTCCTTGTCTAATAGGTAAAGTATCATACGGCTTCGGTAAGAGACTTCATCCCGCGAGCAGTTTACCTCCAGCGGTGCCAGGCTCAAATAGCTTTGGAAAGAGCGGGTTCGCACACGGCCAGCAATGAAAGATTTACATGACTGCAAAAAAAAAAAAACAAAAAAAAAAAAAAAAAAAAAACTGCGCAACAGACAAGATGTCCATGATAATGGCTGGTTGTCTGTTATCAAACCAAATGTTCACGCTGTCGTCAAAAATCAAGTAAATGGCGCTGTACATCTATTCGGCCGCCTAGGTTTGGTGTCTGATGTTGCCCTAGCGAACACAAAGACTTTATACGGATTTTCATTTGTGATAATAAGCCGGTATATCAACGACACAGGGGGGAACTTTCGTAGGAATAGAAGTGCCGCCTGCAGTGGAGGGCATCGATTTTGCAAGTTAGTACGAACTACTAAGTCATGACGGTAAGAGAACATGCTTGTGAAGAAAAGAATCGATGAATGATTGGTATGACAAACTTGATTACCACATTGGCCTCTAACCTCAAGTCTAGGTATATTTCAGTTCATCAACAAGCGTTATTTAGGCGCCTATAGAAACAGGGCTGTTTGGAAATCATGTTGAGCCAAATGAAATAAGTTGCTGTCTGAATTATCCAGGAATAGCTACAGGCCACCTGTGTGCTCAAACACATCATATACCCTACTGTAGAGGAGCTGAGACCACGAACAGAAACACTCTTGGGAAAGTAGTTCACACTGAAAATGCCATTGTAGTATAAGCCAAGCAATGGCAGAGAAGCAAGCGGTGAAAAAGGATGGCGATCAATCATATAACTGATTTAAAAACATGCATCGCAAGGGCCTCACATCTCACGACAGCGAGGAAAGAGAGCCCTGGGTATTATTATGTACACCGCAGCTCGCTCACAGCGCGCCTCCCTTTAAACGCCTAATCCTCGATACCAGCGGGAACTACCCTCTGATTTATTCAAACGACATAGGCCAATATAAGCGAAGAAGGCCATAACCACTAATCTCTGATAGGGCCCTGAACAGGCTTCTATGCCGATAACGATACGATATCCCAACTCCATTGCGGCTGTCGCCTGAGCGAGGCGTGGACCTAACCACTAGTAGCGCCAAGGGTGACCACGCTAACCGCATGCATTCCAACAATGTCGCCAAATCCTGACATCTAAACCAAGACAGAAAGCTCATCAAGCCTTCTAACCAATAAGAAACATAAACAGATCAACTCGAAGAGTAAGCAACCATCGGTTCTTGCCCGTACCACCTCGATCAACGTCGGGCTCCGTTTGTGAGCCTCTGATCTCTGTTGTCGCCAAGCCATCCGACTAGTTCAGCATCTTGACAGCAGTTGGGCTTCTACAGGTAGATGTCTCCGTCTTCACCCGCCACCCATCGCCGCCATGCTTCTTCATAGGCACGTTCCAGGTCAGCCACCCATCGTCTTGTGTTAAAAAGGGCGCAGGTCCATTTACTATCCCAAAGGAGCTTGCGCAAGGTTGCCAGTCGACCTGTTCCCTCGCCATACCCCCCGCGGCTGATTTGGTAAGATAGGCCGTTCGCCAGTCTAATGGCAAATTCTTCATACTCCTCTTCACTGCTAGCAATGAGATATTTCGCCGCTTCTGATCCTTGGTTGTTTTTAGGCAACGCGCCCTTCAAAATCGAGGCTGCCATCCGAGAGCACATCTTATGTGGGTAGCGAGGCAAGGTCAAAAGTGGGGTGCTGGACCATAGTACGTCTGCGGCCGTAGTATGAGCGTTGCATTCCGGTGTGTCGAGGAACAAATCACAGACTCGAGCCCGGGAGATATGTTGGTTCTTGGGCGCTACATCTGTAAAAATGATACGACTCGCAACCTCTTCGCCTGCCCAAGCTTTGGCTGTTCTCCGCAGATTGGTTTCTCCTAGTTCAGGAAATCGCAGCAGCCAAAGTATAGCACGGGGAGCATGCGCAAGGATGCGAAGCCATGTTCGAAACGTTGTTGGGTCGATCTTAGGGCAGGTTAGTCGCGTTAAACCTCATGGAAAGGATTACATTCAAGCAACTGACCTTGTAAAGCTGGTTAAAGTTTCCTAGAATGATTGTATCGTCAGACAAGTTTGGAAACAGCTCTTTGCGCATCGTCCATCTTCGGCGTTGCTCATCCTCCCAGGAGACCTTATGCTCATCTGGTTCACTCGATTGTGCGTGGTCGCAGCAGAAGAACGTATCTCGACAGAAGATAATGTTCTCCGAGTAAACCCAGTCGCCTGCATCTTCTTCTGTCATGTCTTTGAACACATCGTGAATACTGAGGTTGCCACGCCACGGCCGCAATGTGTCAGGGGGAATGGCAGTAGTGTCCGCAAGGAGGTAGTCGCACCACTCAGCACCCAAGGTGCCAGCAAACCCCATGAATGACATCTGAATCGGGGATGGCCTGGCCGCGAAGATCTCGTTCCGAGCGCCTCTCGTGTACCCATTCAGGTTAACAAGAATGTGAATCCCATCCTGCACGATTTGTTCTACTAATTTATCTGAAGACCAGGTGCTTGCATCTCGAAATACCGGTGCTTCTCGTTCAATTTGCAAGCGGTGTATGGACTTGTCACTTGCCGTCGTGGCGTAACAAACCGCCTTTACGCGACCCCTATTATGAAAGCCAAACACAGATTGCATTCTGCATGGAGTGTCAGTAAAAAGGAAGGTGTTTAATGCGTCAAGACGAGCTTACAAGTGAGCTAAAGGATGGTTGTTAAAATCCGAGGATACGTAACCGACGTTGAGATGTGGCGAAGGAGGGCAAGGTGGTGGATATACGGTGCTGGGTAACCAGGGTGACCTTAGCGTTGAACAAGAGATTCTGAAAGCATTGCGCTGGGAAATCATTCGGATGTCTTTGGCTGTTAACGGACAAGTGAAAGTGTGAAAGGGGAGGACGGTCGGGGCTGAGGGGACAGTCAAGTTGGACGGTAGCCGTGGTCGTTCGTATTTCAAAAATGTCCTGATTCCTCGGATATGTCTGTCGCAATACCATTTCCGCATTGAAGCTCGTGTAGCTCGTTCCACAAGCCTCAGTATTCGAGATCCCTCCCAGGGACACTTAGACCAGGTTCGAAGTAGCGAGGCGAAAGTAACTGATGTTTGCACCTCCTGGGAATCAACCAGTTGAAGTTGGGATGCTAGATGGGCAATCTCATTCTCCTGCAATGCACCTATACCCCATGTTGATGCGTCTTCGAGCTGGCGTGCGACAATATCGGTTACCTTCTTTGTGAGGCCAGTTCCCCGCCCCTGGATTCGTGCGTCCACCAGCATGCCGTCATCGTCCACATGCCAGCGATCGAACCTTCCCTGTTGAATCAGCGCTCCCCCTCGGCCCCTCCAGTCACAAACTGAGTTCAGAGCCGTAGAAAGTCCACATACAGCCTCAGCAAACTCGGGATTCGATTTAACTGCGCGCTTGTAATATATAATGGCGTCGTTGATTCGCCCACGATCTTTGACCGCATTCGCGAGATTCGTCAAAGCAATGTCGAAGTTGCCATCACATTGGACAGCTTGCTCATACATCTGAATGGCCAAATCCAGCTGCCCAATATCTTTGAGAAGGCTTCCGAGATTTGTGTGCAGATGAACGTGTTTTGGATCCAACAATAAGCCATAATTGTAGTATGAAAGAGCCAGCGCCAATCCGCTACCTGGGGGTATGCCAGGTACGTTGGGCTGTGATGATAAGGTTCCAGGCGACATGGCTGTAGCTGACTGCTGAACGCTAGCGAGGAGAATTCCAACATTGTTAGCTGTTGACGGGCTTTCTTGAAGAGACAACGACAAATAGTAGAGAGCCAGGATATCTCCGACCCCGGCAGGCTTCCGCACGAGTCTAGCAGACGCGGATCCGGATGACATGGCATCCTGGAAGATTTTAGCCAAGGAAAGTAGAGAGTTGCTCGTAGTCTGGACAGCTGCCCTTTTGGGTCCGCCTTCAGGCACGAATCGTAAACCAGGGAGTTCGCCATTTCCAGAAAATACTAGCTTCGCAGTACACCTCGCTTTTTCGGGAGGCAAAAGCAATGGGCGCGCAGGAACCGCCGGTCCAGAGGCTTTGCCAAGGCCAAGGTCAGGGCAGAGGACTGTCTGGATTTGCTGCACTAGTGCCTGAATAGAAGATGTCTGTCTTCCCGTACTGATCAAAACTGCTTCCTCGAAGGCTTCGGATGCCCCTGCAACATCTTTCAGACTGTACAACATAGTACCTTTGGCATGGACAAGAGCGAGGATACGTCCGTTCTCGCTGCCCGGGATCGCGTATCCGCTTGATCCAAAGCCGGGCTGGATGGTATTGTCGTACGAAGTGCTCGAAAGCAAAACCGCTGGAGCGGAGCCAGAGCTTACAGTCCCTAACCGGCCCTTTGGCATTTTTAACGACTTCTGGACAAAGCTGATAACTTCAACAGCATCGAAACTCTTCTTCCTGTAAAGAAGACCCACGAGGTGCTCAACAGCCTCGAGGTACTGTGGTCGAGTTCTAATAGCCTTCAACCAGCAAGTTTCCGCTTCCTCTTGTCGGTTAAGGCAGTATAGAGTGGCTGCCATATTGGACAGCGCTTCTACATGACTGGGTAAAAAGATTAGTAAAGGAATTTTATCGTGGTTGACACATGGCGAGTCAATCGCATGCTTTTGAGGCAGAAAGCACTCACTTAGGATCCAAGGTAATAACCCGATTGAACCACTCCAATGCATCCTCGAAGTGCTCTAGGCCGTAATGAAGACATCCTCCAAGCAGGACACCGTCAATCCATTTCCACCCGCTTTGCTCACAAAAATGAGTGAGCAGTTCCAAAGACCCTTTGGCATTCATGAATGGCGAGCTTCGCCTGGATTGATTTGAAAATAATGAACTCGCCGAGCTGACGATCGGGAAGACACTGCCCCTTACATCCGGAGGGGTGCCATCCCATACAATAGATTGGGGTGGCATTTGCATTCTATTCGTCGAAGACCCAAGAAATACATCCCCGCTTGAGTTGGCCTTCAACTGCATGCTGGCCGCTGTGGCCATATCCCCTGAATAATAAGAGACTGAAGAGTTTGCAGCTGCTGGTTGCTTTGGCGGCTTAGGGTACACCACCATTCTTGACGTGGTGCTTAAGGCAGACCCCGGCCGGAGTTGTTGAGTCTTTCGACCATGATGTAGATATGCAAGCAAATCAACATAACTCCGATGAGCCTGAGCAAGCACCTTTTCCCTGAAGTTAGAGGGTGATGTCCCAGTGGTTGAACTGATATTGCCACCGGCTTGGTTTGGCTCTAGTGTTAACGCTTCCAAGTTGAATGGCGCTGGGTGTAGGTAGCCTGTGCCGTACGCGTGATGGGAATAGGTATCTGGCGGGGTAAAATGAGCTGATGGGCGATTTGTTTGATTAGGAAAATGGGACAATCGATAGTCGTACGTCGACGGAGACGGCGTATGATAGGAGGGTGGTCCAACGTAGCTGGGCCCTGGTTGAGGCGCAGGATACCAAGGATGTGCTGACTGAAGAAGCCCTGGGACAAGGGCTGCAGCAGCGCCGTCTGCAGGAAGCCCTCCTGGAAAGAAAGGGTTGATGTGGAAAGACGCAGACCGAGGACGTGACTGCGCAGCGGAATCAAAAAGAGAAGATATGTTAGGAGTATTAAACCTGTGTTGTGAAGGATCGAGAACTTGGGAACCCAAGGAACTGGCGCTTGGCAATGATTGGTGTGACAACTCCAGCCCGTGCACCCATGGATTATATGCGAGAGACGTCGTGTTGTTGTTCTCAGTGATTCGATCGTAAACGACGGATAGGGAGCTACGGCCCTGTGTGCCCGGAATCAGTCTAGAATGTCGGTTCAGGGCGGTGGCAGATTGAAGGCGATTCGCAGTGTAGGCAGTTGGCGCGGCTGGCAGAATCATCTGCTTCAGTGGTGGGGGGCCTGACGCGAGATGGGCAGTCGAGCCATCATAGCCTGCGTCGATCGTACCATTTGGTGTCTTGCGTCGCAACTGGTGTTCTGGCTGGTCAACAACTTGTAGCAGTCCGGCGGTAGTCGCAGCCCGTCGCTGGAGTGGTGGAGTTGGATGAGAGTTTCGAATGGGAAAGGTCCTCGGAGTCTTGCCGTCAACAAAAAGGTTGCTTGCAGAATCAGAGGGTAAGCTGCCCATACAATGATGAGATGTATAAGCGTGCGTGGTAGGGAATGGCTGACTATCCTGCTGCAGTTGGAGGTGATTCTGCTGTCGCTGAAAATCCGGAACGGGCTCGAAGTTTGGCGGTTGTTGCACCGTATGGTGCGTCTGGACTAGGGGCAACATGAGATGTACGATGCGGAAGAAAGCAGTGCGCGGAGCGAAAGAGTGAGAAATATGCCCAAGATTCGACAAGACGATGACTATACGTGACGAAGCAAAAGCGATGATAACGGGACGTGGAACCGCGATCTGGAACCTGTTGTCGTTGCCCGCTGGTTAAAGCATGGCTGACGGGCCCGCTGACGGGCATGGCATCTGAGCTGCCTTGGCTATGCGGCGATGCCAATGCCAGACACCAGTGCCGCCAGCGACTCTGGCCTCGGCCTAAGAAGAGGCCTTCCGTTCGGGTATGAGTGCGGCGATGGAGAGAGGTGATGGACAAGTCGGTCAAACAAATATTCGCGGTCGGGTTGCCGCGATGCCGCCCGAGATGACAACGAGGCGGCTGGATAGTATGGATTAACTGTGAATTATGATCTGTTGGATGGGTCGGCAGAAACGAGGGACTGGCAGCAACGGCGGCGGCGGCGGCGGCGGCGGCGGCGGTGGCGGATGGTGGCGGGATGTCGACGGAGAATGTAAAGTCAAAGTGAAGTTAGCCTAGCAAGGGGTGAGAGATGCGAAAGTAATAATGTTTGGCTCTAGTGTAACTGCGCTACTGCGCTGAACCGTTACGCTTGACACAACTGCGGCCCTCTGGAGGAGCTGTTTTCCAGACTGGCAACGACTTGGCTGGCGGTCGTTTTCAACGGCGCTCAAGAAATCGGCCAAGCACCAAACCCAGACAAAGGGTCAAGGTACCCTGGAGAACGTACCCTACCAGGCTACCAACTGTACTGCCTCAGTGTTTGAGTTCTTGTACCGCAGTTTAACGCAAACGTGCAATGCAGTATCGGAACCTGACAGTTAGAAAGGTCGCTGGATTGGGAGGCCTCAGGTGTGAAGGACATTGGTCAAAACACGTTGAGTAAACCTCGCCTTAGCACCAGCAGTACTTGGTATTAGGGAAGCACTATTAAGACACATTCACTCGGGGTGCAAAGTAAGTGGCTGCTTGATCATTGGCAATATCATCCTCAATAAGCCTTCTACCGCAAGAAAAGACTTTTAAAAACAGAAAAATATCCATAAAATACTTCAGACTGTTTATTCATTGAATCATGTATTTTTTTTTCTGATGCTTTGCCATCATAACTGTGGTGTTCTTGATGGAAAAACTAAGGTCAGTTCTGAAAAGCGGACATTTGCTTTGCACCCCGAGTGACATTTCAGGCTAGGCGAAGTACTGTACATAGAGGTACTTGAGAGATTACCTAAGGATGAGCGGGTTTAGGACTTGCCAAAGCCAAGGCGCGGCAACCAAGGCAAAGACGAACTGGCATGGACAAGAAACGCTAATTTTTTACTCATGCTGACAGCTAACATGGAACCAGTTTTCGTTGGCTTGGCCCTTCAGTACTGTATTCCTCAATGGTTGACATCAGCAGGCGCATTACTGGAACGGAATCTTGAACAAGCAAAAGAAAGGGGCAAAGACAGCAAGCACAATTTGCGCCGGCGGCTGAGTGCTGAATGGCAAACCTACATCGATGTATTAGTACCAAACGTACAGGTCCTGGTTGGCCAGACTATTGTGTCACAATGCTTCCATGGTCGGGTCACTCCACGCATCTAATGGAAGAGCAAACACTAACGAAATGAGAAATATCCCGAACTTATGCAAACGTCAATCCTGTGACGTGCTGATTCGACTGGCTTGACTTGATAAAATATTGAGCATGTGGGTTTTCAACCCGAAGGCCGCACAGACGGCCCAGGCAATTGCACTCGCGGTTTCTCGGACGCGAGTTAGAGACGACCAGGTGTTGACAAGACATACACAACACATTTGCATCTTAATAGCAACATCGATTTAGTAATATTTTGTAGTGTGCGAAAGACGAGCGAAGGATATTGGAAGCGCATGAAAGGAGAGCAACTGCTGCCTAATGGTATGAGCCACGTTTAGTAGAACTCGACTTCCATGGCGGAATGGGCCCCCACGATGAGTGTTGGGTTCTGTTTCACCAAAAAAAAAAAAAAGTGTCATCTTTCTCGAAACCAAGATTAAAATAGACCGTGGGAAAGCGCAGAATATCTCAGTGCAGTCAAGGGGCTATGCGGGAAGTTGTGGGCACAATTGCTGCGCGTAACATCAACGAATCATAATTTCAGGGAATAATACCATGGAGCAGGCATGCTGCGACAAGCATCGATTGGTCATTTGATCATTGGCAAATTTCTTTCATTGCCAGAGGTTGTCCCTTTTGGGTAGTCCCCATAATGCAGAACCATTCCTAAACTCCAGAAGTCATGCGAGAGTAACTGTCAAGCTGTCGACCTCGTCTACTCCTCGGGGACTGTACAGCATGTTAGTACATTGCACAACCAAACCGTCCAGGATGTTGACGGGGAGTTTGAGACTTACTGTCGATCTCACCAGCGTTGATAGCATCGATGACTGCCTGTGGGGGCTTGCCGTCAACCTGGCATCCAACACTGTATGCCGTTCCCAGAATCTCCTTCACAGTGCCTGCAAGGTCCTTAGAGAACGACTTGAAGCGCATGGTCCGCGCAATGTCGATGATTTCGTCAAGGGCGACAGACTTGTTGTGCTTAATGTTCTTCTCCTTCTTCCGGTCGCGGGGAGGCTCCTTGAGGGCACGGATGATAAGAGAGGAGGCAGTGGGGACGACGGAGACGGCGGCTTGACGGTTCTGAATGGTGAGCTTCACGGTCACTCGGAGACCCTTCTGTAATTGTCGCTGTAAGTGCCGTTCTCCCCGAGATAGTTCGCAAAGAGGGGGGTTTGCATACCCAGTCGCCAGTGGCCTTCGCAATGTCTTCACCGACCTTCTTGGGGGACAGACCAAGAGGACCAATCTTAGGAGCCAGAGCGGAGGAGGCGCCAACCTCACCTCCGGTGGCACGGAGGTGACTATATTCATCGACCATGTTAGCCATAATTTTCGGTCCAAGAAGGCAGCGACGCGACGAACATGACCTTAACCTCGTTGGGATCGTGCTTGGGAGCTGGACAAGAGCATGATCATTAGTTTGCGAACATCGTATAGCATATTGGAGGTGGCAATGACTTACGCATTGTGACTGCTCTCGGATCTGGGGTCTGGTAGGAAAGTTGGTGATCGAAGGAAGAATTAATGTCTTTGTGACCGTCAAGGAAATTTTGCAGATGTGTGCGCCGTAGCTCCGCAGCCCTAGACAGGACGCGCCACACCTACTGTGGCTGGAAATGTTACCGAATTTTGGCGAGTGTGCTCAGGTGGGAAATATCACGTGATGTTTTACCAATTAGGTCTGCCTTTCGCCTTTTTTTTTTTCCAGTGCCGGTGGCTGTGAAGAGTGCCAGCCACACAACCAAAAGGCTAAGTACCATAGCCTATCAGGCCAGTCACTGTTCATCCAAGTGTACGAATTGTCTTGCCAAAAGGTACTTCAGCGACGCTGTTGGTGGGGGCGGGGTAGGTTGATTAGTTTTAATCCGCAGATTCTCCACCAACTTACCGCCATCTTGTTTTTCATTACCAGGTTGCGTTGTTTCCCAAGTTCAGCTTTCTCCAAGCTGTACAGGTTCCACTGCGAATCACCATTGATGAACAGAATTCCGTTACTTCCTTGCAACTACGAAGCCTCTCCACATGCAACCTATCTCTGGCCCTACGAAGGGATATCAATTCGAGCTCACTGCACTAGACAGGGCGGTATTTTTCTGTTTGCTACAAAAGAATTTCTCTCTACCGCTGCATAGGATCAGGCCTCAACGTCATTTGTTCAGACTTCTAACTTAGGATACGTGGTTACACCCATCCTAACGGACAACTCATGTCACAATATAAAGCTAGTCTTGCTGCACAAATGCATTATTTGCGAGCTCTTCACTACCACATCCTCCAATGTGCTCGCGGCTCTAAAAGCACACGCTCTATATGTTTTGTTACCGCTCTGAGTTCCGTCTGCCCTAGTTCGTGCCGCTCACGGCCAACCTATGAATTAATGGTTAGAGATCAATATCCCGTGCACATGATCGAAGACGAAACCTACTTCATTAGATGGTCCATAAAGGTCTGTAGGGATACGTCGTCGGTGAATATTGTCTGGGCGTTCTGGGCCCCCACTCCGCCATATGCCCCAGTCGTATGGGTGGTGGAAGGATTTAGCTTCGATAGCAAGAACCTGTGATTTGTTAGCCTCCATATTCGCAGGAAAAAAGTAGAGAAAGACTTGCCTCGCCTGACTACCGCCAGCATCGCAAACAATGAAACGCGGCAACGGGAATCTGTCGGTGATAAGATCCTGTTCCGAGTTAGCTGAAATGTTTCTTGGCACTGTGTGGGATGGGACACATACTCTTGCATCTTCCTTGGGCTGTTCGAGCAGAGCAGCAAAATTTTCGTAACCTTCTTGGTCCTGATAACCCGCTTTTCTCCACTCAGCAATGGTCTCGCCGTGGAAGATGAGGATATGAAAGAAGGTATCAAGAAGTAGGATGTGAGTCGGCTGGATAGAAGAACTATCAAGAAGAACAGGGGACGATTCTTGATCAAACGTGTAACTGTCCAAGTAAGCGAAATGTTTCTCTCTTTGAGAGTCCGAATAAGAAAGACCAACCTGTCCAGCGTGGGTTGAATCATAATCAGCGAGTTGCTTACATCCTCATGATTAAGCACATGTCGATAGAACGCTGTCTCATCCGGAGAGTTATTGAAGACCTGCAAGAACTGACTCCTTCTCAAATGGAACATGAACTGGGGGTACAAGGTGAAGTTCTTCTCCAATCGGAAAGATGAGGGGTCATCCTTGCGATAGTCTGCGAAACGTGAGCAAAGTCTTATAAGCATCCTGTCAACCCAGCGCAAAACATCCGGGCCATCGTCCACTTCGGCCTTGAATACGGCGATACGTGACATTAAAACCGCAGCAGCTTCCTGGTCAAACGACTGGGCTATTGCCGGATCACCTGCCGGGCCGCTAAGGTTCCTGGCAATCGTTGTCACCCTAAGGTGAAACTGGCCAGACGAATGCTGGTAGTATGTGAGAAACTGGATCATGCCTTTCTGTGGAGACTGCTGGTGTTGTGCTGGGCCTCCCTGGCTGGCGATCTCGAAGTATACGCCATAGCTGGCATTGGGGTCAATGCCACACATCTTCCAGGAGCATGTATTGCCAATACCACATTCCGTCTCACCCACCGACGTGGACTTCTTGTTGAGCGAAATCGCATGTCCTATCAGACCAGTAACCTTTAGCTCTTTTGTAGTCAATACCTCCAGTGTTGCATTGAAGCCCATGAGCAAATTGTCATCTCCATCCTTCTCAAATATGCGGATGAACGACTGTTTGAACATAGAGGAGGTAAAGCTATCTGTCAATACCATGTGACCGCCTGTAGAATTGCACAGGCCTTTCATCTCCAACAAGCCAACCTGGTCTAAGCAGCCAGCAAAGATATCAATGATGTGCCCGTTATGTGCTGTTCTCTTGGCAAGATTTTCGTAGAATTTGAGAGCTTTCTTATAATACTTGATGTTGTCTCGGTCGATGTCGTGGTGAGACCGAATGGGTTCTCGAAGCTCAGGGCCAACAACCATGCCAGGACCTTCAGTGGCGGGACCACCTGCAAATAACATAATGCGGCCACCAGCATGTTGGAAGGAAGATTCGAGAAGGCCCACAGCTACACTTAACGCAACACCGGAGCATCGCAAGCTCCTGCGGTCGTTTGCTACTGGCCAGGGGTCCTTTTGGAGCTGTTCCAGAGCTTTTGTCAACTGGAACTCGGCCTGCTGAACAGGCAGCAGGAACCGTGATGCCGGGCCTGCAGGCATGGGTCTGCCAGGTTGCTGTTGGGGCATGCCTGGTCGCATTGCAGCAGACAGCAGCCCGAGCATTTCCTGGACCTGCTTGGCGGAGTAGTCCTTGCTGCCGCGAAAAACATATGACTTAGCACATTCAGTGTAGCCGATCTCATGCACCTGGACCATTGTCCCGTAAGTGATCAACCCCACTAGAGCATTCTCGGGAAGGAGGCTCAGGCTCATGATCAATGACTCCTTCATGGCTGAGAGACTATCATCCTCTTGGCAGGCATCAACCACAAAGAGAAATATAGGGGGACTGGGCGCCGGGCGCGAGAGTCGATACTCGATCGTGGTGTTGGAGGGATGTAACTCAGGGGGGATCGCATTGGCCGTAATATCTTTGTAGTGCGGCGGCAAGGGGTTTCGCGAGAGGCAGAACGGACATATCCACAGACGAGCGCGGACATCTACTGAGCTTCAAGGCGAGGCTGTAAGTTCGACGCTTGAATGGAAGAAGGTTCTAACTCACCAAAACGGGTTGAGAACAGAACGACAAGGCTGCTTGCAGGTGACCGGTTCAAACTGCAGCAGCGGGGTATCGGGTTTCTCTTTCAGGGGTGTATAGAGAGCACCGATGGGCACGACGAGGCGAGATGCTTCCTTTGGGTAGATAGGTAAGCCGACAGGTCATCAAGATCGAAACAAGACACTAAACTAACCATGCGCGAGCTAGGAAACACGTTCCAACTGAGGCGGACGCCATCACGGTCCTCGACCTCACTCCATTGCTCTTTGAGAGCTTCGTAATCCATCCTGGTTTGAGGACTTCCGTGAAATCGACAGTTGCGCAAATACTAAACAGTCTCGGGATCAGACGGTGAGAAGATGCACAGCGAGGTGCTGCACGATAAAGGTGTTTCGTTGTAGTGAGAGCTGGCGCTGGCTAAGCTTTCCAGTTCTGGACACGAATGCAATTGGGTTGGAAAGGCCACGTTCGGTCACGTAGTGTAGGGGGGTAGCTTTGAACGTGGCTAACCTAACAACGAAAGACAACGGAACCCACCGAAGCTAACAAGAAGACCCCACCCCACTTAAAATCGCAAACTAACAAACTACCTAGAGTAATGAAAGTAAAAAAATATATATATAAGTATAAGTACTATCTTACTAGTATATAGTTTTTAATATTAATATTCAATTACTTATATAATAAATTAGAATAATAATTTAAAAAATAAATATTTTTATTTAAAGATTAAAGTACTTATATTATTGAAATTATAATATATAAAAGTATATAATAAAGTTACTTATAACTATTATAATTCTATAGAATTAATACTAGAAGTATATAATTTTATAAACTAACTATACTTATATAAGAGATACTCTTAATAAAATTATTATTAAAAGTTAATTAATAAAATAACTAACTACTTATACTTATATTTATTAATTTATTATTATTTATTACTTTATAAGTATATATTTAAGTTTATACTATTTTATAAACATTTTTAACTTTATTTATTATTATAGCTAACTAGTAATAATAGGGTTTTTATTAATAAAAATTAAGGCTATAAGACTAATAATAAGTTATATATTATCTTACTAGTAAGTTATACTAATAAATTAAGGGTTAGAGTAAAGTAATTAGCCTTATACTAAGTAGTAAAGTAGTAATATTATAGACTATAGGCTAGGCTAAATAATATTTAAAATAGATTATAAGTTAATTATTAAATAACTATTTAAAAAGTCTTATTTTATATATAAGTCTTAATAATTATATAATAAATATTAATAAGTATTTACTTTATATAATAAGTATTTATTACTAAGAATAAGTATTTATTATTTTAGCTATATACTTATTACAGGTTAGGTTACGTAACGTTATATAGCCTCCCGAGGCTATAGGTTAACTAGGTACTTTAGCGACCGGCGCCTATATAATAGTTCTTTTTCTTTTTATAATAAAATCTACTTAATTTACTATATAGTAGTATACTAACCTACTAACTATAAACAATTCGTAATAATATTATAAGTTTTTATAATTTAATTAAAGATTAAATTCTTAATTATATTAGTTTTGACTTCTTTAATAATTATTAACCGTTTTTATATTAATATAAATCTTTTTTTATATTTTTAAGAATTACCTAGGTTTTAAGACTAGGAGTATATAATCTAGTTATTAATTAAAATATTAGCTTTATTATTCTTTAATACTTTATAATAGATAATTTTTAAATTAAGTTTAGAAGGAAATTTTAATTATCTAATTTATTATTTACTAAGTTTTTTAAATTATAAAATAAGCTAGGTTCTTATTATATATATAGATATTAACTTAGTACTTTACTTTTTAAAATTAAAATCCTTATTTTTAAAATATTTTAGTAATTATTAAGTCTTTATTATAGATTTATTAGAAGTATAAGTATATTATACCTCTATACTTCTATTATTCTTATTTATCCTATTTAGTCCTCTAAGGACTTAGTATAGGTCTACCTAACTAACTAAGAATAGCTATATGCTAGTTAGATTCTAGTACTTAATACGGCGTTAAGATTCCTACGGAATACTCTCTTTAACTCTATCTTAAAGCCTATTTAGTTAACTTAACTATATCTATAGTTAAGAAGATTCTAGTCTAATTTATAAGTAGATTTATAAGCTATATTACGTATATACTTATAAATACTAATCTAGCTTATAACTTCCTATATAGCTATTATAAGTAACGTTATCTAGCTATAAAACTAGCCTACTACTCTCCCTTAGCTAGCTATTAGTTCCTTAACTAACTTAGCTTTAATATAACGTCCCACACCCACTTCTGGGCACCCCCCACATTTGGGCACCCCATTTACACCAAAAACGCCGTTTTTCGAAATTCTATATTAAACTAACTACTATACTTACTAAGAAAAGAAAATATATATAAACTATGTTAAGTATAATTATAGCCATCTAATTTTTTATAAAGGTTTAAATATAATAATAGTTATAATATAGAAGTTTAAAACTAAAAGCTTTAAAATGTTAGTAGATACTAGTAACTTACTAGTATTCCTTAACATTAGAAAAATATATTTTCGCTTATATATACTTATTTAAAAAATCTAGGAAATTAATATTTATACTTATTAAAAGTATATAATTATATCTAAAAGAGATTTAAAAGTATTACTTTAGTAAATATAGTATAATTAAGGGTTAAAATTCTATAATAGAAACTTTTCTTAAGGGAAATTTTAAAATATTATTCTAAGCTTAAAGAATTTTTTACTAAGTATAAGAATATATAAATCTACTATATCTTACTTAAAAATTCTAATCATATTAGTTAAATATCTCTACCTATTTTATATATTAAGATATAGGCTAGGTAAATTAGTATTATAAATGTTAAACCTTGAATTTATAATACTTATTATTAATAATACTAGTATATAGCTACTTAAGTATTATAATTAAGTCTTAATCTATTTAACATATATTTATTCTCTTTAATAAGTAAAGTATTTAGTTTAATATAGAATTTCGAAAAACGGCGTTTTTGGTGTAAATGGGGTGCCCAAATGTGGGGGGTGCCCAGAAGTGGGTGTGGGACGTTAAGCTAATATATTCTTTACTATAAATTTAGCCTTATTAATAAGTATCGTTACTTAACTCTTATCTACCTATATTATCCCTAACGTTCTAATAAGATTTAATAATTAAGTTCTAGTTTTATAAGATTTTAAATTAAAAGATATATAAGTATAAAATACGATCTTAGCCTTATTATCTTAGTTATATTTTTATAATAAAACCTAAAGAGTTAGGTTTTAACTTAAAATGTTTTTAAGGTTTAGAAGTTTAAAAATAAGTTTTAAAGTTATATAGTTTTTTTATTTTTAAAATATTTATTATTATTATTCTAACTATATTTATAAAGTATGTTTATAAATAAGCTTTATAAGAAGTAATATTATTTTAAAGTATCTTTTAAAAAACCTTTAACAAAAGTTAATAAATCCTAGGAAGAATAAGATATCCTCTAGGTTTTCTAGTATAAGTAATTCTTTTATAGCTTAGATACTATTAACTAGTATTTTAATTAATTTAAGTATAATAATAAATTTTAAGAATTTAATTTTTTATTTATTAAAAAGGCTTTTACTTAGTTTTATAAATTATTTAGCTACTTTTAATATTTTAAGGATTTAGTAGATATATTTTTAATAATTCTTAAGAGTTTTTAAGAAAATAAAGATATTATTTAGATAGATTATAATAAATTTACTTAAATATACTTATTATATATCTATTAATAATTAATTATATACTTTAATTATATTAAAAGTCTTAAGTTATCTTTATTATATCTTAAAAGCTATTATCTTTAAATAAGATTATAAGCTTTATTAAGATTTTAAGTAGTAAAATAATAAGTAATATAAAGTATATCTTACAATTCTAATATAATAATAATAAGTATTAGTTTTTAATAATATTATTTTTTAACTTTCTATAATCTATATATAGTTATTTTTTTTTAAAATATAAAGAGTATTAAGTATCTAGTTAATAATATTAATAGTTTAATAACCCTTTTTATTAGGTTTTTATCTAACTCTTTATTAAAAGTATTTATATATTTTTAGTTAAGAAAGTAGATTTTACTAAAAGTAGGTTTATATACTTTATTAGTTATTATTATAACTAGGATTTTAATATAGATATCCTTTATTTAAAAAAATAAAGTTAAATATATTTTTAATACTATTAATAGTTTATATAGAAGTTTTGTCAAAGTATTATTTAAAGGCTAGATTATTATCTTAATTAAGCTTATGTCTTAATTAATCTTAAAAGTATTTTTTTATAATTATAAAATTCTAATAATAACTTTATATTATCTTATTTTAATATTAATAGTAATAGGCTTTATAAAATAATAGTAAATTAAAGAGAGTTATATTATTTCTAATTTTATAATACTTTTATTATATATATTTCTTTTGTTTCTATATTATTTAAAAAGTATAAGTTTTATTTCTTATTTTCTCGTTTTTCTATTGTTTTTAAGGAGATTAAGTTTTTTTAAGCTTTTAAGTTTATTAATACTTCTATAATATAACCTCCTAGGTATATTATAATTAAGATATATATTATTCTTTATAATATATAAAGACTTTTCCTTAAAGCTTACTTATTATTATTTTAAAATTAGCTTTATTTATTTTTAAACTACTTTATATACTAATTATTAACTTTCTTTTTATTTTTCTAATCTTAAAGTATAATATATTAAGTATCTCTTTTTTACTTTATTATTTAAGTTCTTATTATTAAGACTTTTAAGCTTTAGCTTTCTTAATATAATAGACTTAGTATAAGTTGTCTTAATAGTTTTTTAACCTTTTTATAATAAACTAAACATATCTTATAAGGTAGAGTAAATTAGGTTTAAACTTAATAATTCTATTTTTATTTATATAAAACTAATAATTAGGTTTATATAAGATAGTCTTAGGTTCTTATTTATTAAAATTATATATAGTATATAATCTTAATATTAATAATCTTAAAAGAATATTAAGTAAAGTTAGTAAACTACCTTCTAGTCTAGATACTATATATAATAGTTATAAATATAATATATTTAAATTTATCTTTATAGTTATTAGATTTAAGAGTTAATTAAGGGTAGTTTCTTAATATAAATTTATTTACTAAGTCTAGATATATAATTATTTTAAGATATAAAAGAACTTCTTAATATAGATCTAAATTTATTAGTTATTATTAG